TATGAACGGCTGGTTGATCTGCGCAACAGGCATCTGGTGAATGCAGACATGGGTTTGGCAGCTTCCGAAGTAATAATTAACACAGTTAGCGACGGATTACCTGCCGTAGAGAAAAGATCGACATAAGGCATAGGAGCCTCACCCGCAAAAGTATCGACGAATTGGTTGACCGTCGACCATATCGAGGCGAAAGACCCACCAGTCTTAGAACATCCAAGATGGGTGACAGCAAATAAATTGAAAGCAGCCTAGAAGAAATTCCAGTTTATGATAAAAGAAGGGTGTTGCTATCCTTTGAACAGCTGATGATAGACAAGCTCTTTTCACGTGCTTTTGAGAAGACTTGGTGAATGGAGACCTTGTGGGTACTGTCGACATCCAAATTCGATTATGGGACCAGATCATTTCTCATATTCAAGACATCGCGATCAATGTACACAAGAAAACAATATTTGCAGTATTAAATTTGAAACTTACCACCAAACTCCAATTGCGGTTGATGTTTCTAAAATAGCCGTATCCACTCAGTTCGGATGATTTAAATTGACCGTAATGACTTTCGGATTGAGAAATGCAACATAAACTTTTCAACGTCATATGGCCGTGGTACTCAAGGTACTTAGGCATCTGCTTCTGCTATTTGAACGACATTTTAATAGCATCGTAATCCCTGGAAAAGCACCTGCTGCACGTCAAAACAGTGTTTGGCAGGTTAAAATTAAACGATCTTACGGTCAACATGGGAAAATGTCTTTGTGGAGTTTCGACATAATTTGTCTAGGATATCACATTAGCTTTAACGGTACAGAGCTACTTACGAATAAATCTTGGCCGGAAGCCCCGTAGAAGAAACATTAAGTTATCCTAATTTATTTTTCCAATTAGTTCCATAATTCTTTTCTGGTACTTCGAGCGCATGTTTTTCTGTTAGCGCCGTTACTCATCGTACCGCAAGCAATTTCATTTTTTGTTCCAACTACAATTTTCCAACTACGATTTTCGAGAGTCTAAGGACTCATCCCCATTACCAATTTTGTCATTCCTCTTACCTAAACCCTATGTTGTTCCCTGAGTATTTTATGTAAATCTTTCTTATTGTAATTTTCTCCGACAAGGAAAGTACTTCAGGTGTACCTCGCCGATTTTCTTCATTCTGTGATATTATAGTACATGAAAAAACATTACAGACCTTTTTTTTATACGTGCTATCTCGGCGATTTAAGGGGTGAAATGCACCCTTAAAGTTCACCTCCGAAAATCGTTTTCTTTTAATATCTCAAGAACTATTGGGAATTTTGTAACGAGATAAACATTATACTATTCATCATGTATAGACGATATTATAGGGTATCATTTTACCCCAAAGGATTACATCCTTCAAATTTGATAAAACAAAATAGCCATTTTTTGACAATTTTTTTCGATGTAAAAATTCAAAATTATGCCGATTTTAATCTAACCGATTCTGTTAGATAGAGTACAAAGAAACCCCAAGAAGAAGTAAGAATTATTGAAAAAAAACTCTACAATGGTTAATTATTACTTAATATTTCTATCGCTTTATAGTGATTTTAATGACTGCATCTCGGTGTAGTCTTCACATCTCCATTTTAGAATGCTTAAGGTGCTTAATATTTGGCATTCGAATAAAATCTAAAGTACAAATTTTCTTTTATCGAATCTGTTTCAGATCTGTCGAATTTACATTCTCGGTGGGAAAACCTCTTTGTGGGTTTTTGGATAAGATTCTTTTTCCGCTCGACATAGGGTGATTGTAATCATGTAGTCTTGCCTACTCGACACGTGGCCCCGCGGTAGTTTCTCGTTTTTAAGTCCGGTCGTTGGCGAGACCGGTACAGTCGCGGTTTGGAATACGCTTTCGATTTTTCCCACCTCACGTGTAGATACCGATTTTCGTTTTGTATTGCGTTATGGCCCTCCGATTTATCGGTACCGACCCACCCGGCCTGTAAGGCCTGTTTTGTCTCGTGATACCCAGGTGGCGTTAGTTGGGTGTTGCGCTCCCGGAAAGTTGGGAGAGAAAGTTCTCGAGGAGCATGCGGCTCCCATTCTAGTTGCGACCCTGGAGGAATAATTCCTTCACGCGCCGGTGGGGCCTAGAAGTTTCTTGTGCGTTGGTGTCGATTTGATATAATAAAGAAAGGGTGAAAATTCCGATAGAATAGGACTACATAATTGTTTTTTCCTTCCATTTAATCTTGCGGTAACCTGATCTGCCACTCCACAGAATTAATTAATTGTCATCCATTTCTTCACTGGTTGGCTAATTAAACAATTCCTTGCTTAATTAATTATAAAAAGTTAATGAGTAGGTGAATAACTGTTGGTTACACGTTGACTGCCACGAAAATTTTACATGGATTACCCATGGCTTCAACATAAATTTCTTATTATGCGTCGTCGGTCACCGCTTGTTCCACGCTTCCATCACCGACCCTCGCGAAACTTTGCCAAACCTCGTAAAAATTCCTTTCCCTTCGGATCCAATGAATTCAAGTACCACGAAGGCACCGTGTGTTGCACTCCGATCCAACGGGCGGGGCGCTCATTCGGGAGCGCCGAGAGTCTTGTTGCCAGGCCCGACCCTTGTTCCCTCTGGCTCACCCCCGTGCCCGAGTCCCATCCGACTGCCCCTACACTCGGGGCCTACCCTTCCCTGGTCGGCAGGCTGAGCGCCCCGGGGCCGTCACCCGGGGCGCGTGTCCCTCTCGACCTGTCCACCGGCGCACCAGACCTGCTTGCCTGACTTCCACCTCGTGCAAGAGAGTAACGATGAAAAACTTTTCAGTTTAATCGTTTGAACTTGGCAACAGACAGCAGTAGTCATTTTATTGCTTTTACCCATTACTTGGTTATTCTTTTATTGACATTGCATTAACGGAGCTCTTTTCGACCTTATGTAAAGTTTTGTTTTCTCAGTATGTGACTCTCTGCAGTCATCCTACAAGAGCCTCCGCATTCCCTTGGAGCTTTTTGGCACAACCCCCGCCGCCACCATCCACAACCCTCCCCAAGGATTCGCGAGTGTCCGCTGCGTGTTTCCCTCGGCCTCACCGCCCAGCTCTTCCCCTAATTAGGCGTGCGAATCCTCACAAGAGTTTGGCTGTTCGCAAGCACCACTCACGGACGTAAAATTCGCGCTAATGGTAGATATGACGGGCAAGCGTTCACCACATCCCTTAGGGGGATGCGATCTCCCCGTAACCCTTTCGTCACGAGCGCCGACTATACTCGGCATCCACGCGACGACCTGCGTATACACTGGCATTCATCGATGGACTGGCATTCATCGCGGACCTACTACCGTCTCCAGCCGCGCGGCGCACTAGCGGCGGGAGAAGCGCGGAATTTGAATCGCCCAAGGGGCAGAATGGATTTCCTAATCAAAATAAATGTGTATAAACAAAAACAATTAATGAAAATTATTTAAATATTATTGTGAAGTATCCCTGACTCACCGTAGTTACAGAATTTCTTGAACAATATATTAATATGTTTTATTAAAAGTTAATTAGTTTCTTAGCGATTCAGTTGTCCCATCTACTGAAACGAAGTTAGAATATTATCTTAACTTAAAAAAATTAGTTATTAATATTTATGCAGTGAAATACCGCAGGAAAATTTACAATGCATCCACTGTCGGACATAGAAACAGAATCATCCCACACGCAACGATAGGTATAATATACGTTGTGACATGGCAATTACCCACGGGTCTATAAACCCTTGCCGAGGCCCGCTGCACCTCGGCCTCTTGCGCGCATCATCTTCGCCCGGTCGCTTCGAGCGGGACCTGCCAGGAGACTATTCTTTCCTCCACTATCGCGCAACCTCCTGAAGCCCACCGGGATCCATCGAGAGGCTACCTAAAACTCCAAAATTCACGAGTCCTTGGTGTCCGCCAGGACATTCTCTGAGTCGACTCCACTAAGCTACCAAAAATTGGGCGCCAGGTCTCCCCAGGAGGCCAATTCTCAAAATTTCCCACAAAACTTCACAAATTCCCAAAATCTACACGAAACGTCTCTTGGCCGGCCCTTGGCTCGTTGCGGCCGTTGCGGCGCGCCCGGCTAGCTCAAAGCGCACGCGCCAACTTTGGGGAGGGCGGGGTAACGAACTCTACCGGACAAATTCTCGAAACACGACTATTTTATCTTGGCTCAGAGACGGAAAGTGAAAAGGAGAAGGGAAATTTGTCAGACCATCAATTGATTAACTCAAGACTCGATTAACTAGAAAATAAAGCTTTAATTAAAAGAAAAAAAAAATGTGATTTCGAGTGGGTTTCCAAAATAGCCTGTCCTATTTTCAGAGGCGGTATAGGACCGACTCGGTCGAGAATTCAAAGTTTTGTTGTGACATTTGGATTCAGCGGCGATGAATACTGTGAGAAACTCAGTTTTATATAAGTCCAACCATTTATATATTTTTATCCGCCATGTGGAATTTAAAAATTCTATTATCAGATTTCAATTAAGCACTTGTAAAAACCATGCGAAACCGTTTCTTATAGTAATTCAATCATTGTGAAATTATATTATTCGCCATATTCGATCCGCCAGATTGAATTTTGAAATTCTGTTGTCATATTTTAATTCAACGATTCCAAAAATCTGAAGAACTCCTTCTTTCTTATGAAAATCAAATCATTTCGAATTTTATTGATAACCTTGTTGGACCCATCAGTTTGAATTTTGAAATTTTGTTGTCATATTTGATTTCAACGGTTCCAAAAATTTAGAGAAATCCTTCTTTCTTCTTTCTATAAAAATTAAAATATTATTGATCAATTTTATTGATATCGCCGATAACCAGTGATATCGCGATCCGCCAGTTCGAAATTGAAATTTTATTAGAAATGTAGGTAACTATTTAGTATAGCGGTATCGAAGCAATGCCTTTACTGATACATCATTCTTCGTTGATTTATTGCTATAATAAATGCTTTATTAAAGAGATTCAGCAATATAAATTGTTACCCTTCATTTGTGTCTTGGTGATCCTCGGCATTTTGTTTGATATGTAAGATGTCCGAAGAGGGGGTTCATCGCGATGAGTGTTATCGGTGAGCCTGCTTGTTCCCGGTAGACTCGCAACCATCGATTCTGCGGCAGTATTATGTTCAAACTTTTGGAGGTCGTTCAGAACATTTTGTTCTTCAATGACACTAGGTTCCAGAACTCCATGTGATTTCGAAGACACCGTCCTCGGGTGAATCGCAGGTTTTGATGGGCCAGCCGCAATTTCCTCTCGTCCATTATTCCCCACGATTCCACTGCTCTGTCTGGTCTGAAACATTTTCAAACACATGTATATATATATATACTGTGACGGGGTGAAATTTTGGCCACGTCACGACTCGGTAAAGATGCTTAAATTAGCCCATTCTTGAGCTTGAAATGATCCGCGGTCCGGTTGCTTCCCGAAGAGGAAAAAAATAACGAATGATTGAATAATTTTGTGCGCCTCTTATTTCAAGTCGAGTTTTTCCTGCTTTGTTTGATTTCCTGCGAATAATCCCTGATTATTTAAAATTTTAAGGCGCAGTCTTGCTGAAATTTTTAGTAGAATGTTCGAGAACACGCGAAATTTTGGTAGACCTTGCGAAACCTTTAGCCGTTGAGCCCGCGTATCAACAGAGGCAACCTTGCGGCCGCGCTCCGGTCGCACGACGCACCGGCTACAAGAAGAAAACCGTCCAGGAAGCCGTGGCGTACGACAACTGCAGACCCGGACTCACCGACCGCGGTGCCAAAGCCAGTCCGTCAGGTTCACTCGGAAGGTAACCTGTCGGTCCTGCTACCAACCCTAGCTGCCTTGTCTGCGAGGCCGGGCCGTAGGTGGGCCAGGAGGTCCGGATACGGTTGCTTGCAAGGACATCAGGACTAGTCGGCCAGTAGCCCGACCAGGAGGCAGGAGCTCCTAGCAACGACCCTGGCTGCCACCAACGAGGCAAGACATGGATGCCGTGTTCAGGGAGGTCCCTTCACGGCCAAGTTGCGGCGCAGGCATGGGGTACAAAGGATCGGGAATTCAGTTGTTAACCGGCGTCAAGGACTGACAACTTCCGGGCCAGGAGCCCGATTATGTTTCTGCCGGAGTACCTTGGGTTTGTCCGGTGGTTTGCACCGGGTGAGCCAGGATCCCCCGGAGGGGAAAAATTGGGCCGCTTCGAGGACTCAAACGTGCTGAGGCTCGACGGGTCACCGACCGCTACGGCCGTGATATCACTGGAGGCACGGCGGACACAGGGACGCGCCATTGACCCCCCCTTGATTGTGTCGCATAGGCGATCCTGCACTTTTTCACGCGGGCGATCTTTTGTTTCCTGGTACAATTCTTTCTGCTGAGGGACTGTTGAAAAAGTCGGATTTTGTTAGGCTTCATGAGAGGACGTAGGACTCCTTGATCGGACGCGGAAGCGAATTCTTTCTCTTTCTTTCGTCGTGTCCCGCAATTTAGCTTGACCGTCGCCCAATGTAGTGTCAAAGTCGCGCAGTATTAGGTAGAAGATTTTCTGCTTAAGAAAATTTAATTTGTGTATCGCGCGAATACTCGTGAATCATTTTTGTCTTCGGCGATATAATCTTCATAGCGTAATAATTTACAGACTTTTTTCTTCACAGTCAATTTTCGAGTTTGGGTGTCATCATTTATATATATATTGTGACGTGTCGGAGGTACGCGACGCGACACCTGTGTAAGACAAATCGAACCTTGTCCCCGCGACGGGAATTAACGCGATAACTGGTTCGCGGGGGATATAAAAACAACCGCTTGCTCGGCGCGTCGAGAGAGAGCCTCGCGCGCACACAACACGGGCAGGGTCACGAGGTCGCGAATTAATACATCGCGATCAAATTAATATAACGTCGATATGAGTCACCTCGATTGGAGGAAATGATCACGACCTTGACCCCGGCGAATCAAAGGGCGAGAAATTACAAATCGTATAAAGGGTAACCATCGTGTCCAATAGCACGTCAAAGAACGCGGACCAGAGTGGGAACCCGACGATACAGCAATAGATCCCATGTATTCCGCGGGTATAAAAGGCGTGGATTTTCTCTAATCGAGGTCCTTTCTGATCGTTCTATCCCGATCGAAAGAGCCTCTGGACGTGGTAGCATTGCGCTGCTCCTCCAGGAAATATCCTATATTCGCGATACCCTTGCCAGGCATCCCCTGGCAAGTGGAAGATTAAAAGGCTCGAGGAGACAAGGCGACAGGGCCGCTCCTCACGAGCACATAGAATTCAGTGCCCTTAGTAGGCAGGTGAGTCCAAGCATCCAAGGAAGTCCGGCAAAGCGTCCGGCAGGGATACCTTGGACCACCTACGAACGGTGGCCATTTAGACGGATTCCCCTTCCGGGAATCACCGTCGAAAATCTTAGAAAATTCGGCAAGCCAACTCGCGTGCCGTGCGAGGTGTAACGGCATAAAGCCGGTCCCCCTTCCACTCGGCAGCGAGGCGCTCCGCGGCCGGTCTCGTGCTCTCGCGTCTGCCCCCTCGGCGTGACGTCATCGCGACGTTCCCCGAGTGTCTGGCCGCTCGAGACGACGCGCATCCTGCTCCTCAGGCTCAAGAACGGTCTTGAAGCCGTGCACCTGCCCCTCGGCGTGACGTCATCGCGACGTTCCCCGGGTGTTTGGTCGCACGGGCAATTCCGTGCCTGACGGAGGAACTAGGAACCTCGTATACAGGAGACGGCCTCGTACCCCCCATCTAAGCCCCCGGCGTGACGTCATCGCGACGTTCCCCGGGTGACTAGAGGTACGGGACGATCCAGACTCGCAGTACAAGGTTCTTCCACACTCACACACCGAGGGCGTGACGGCATGGCGCCGTTCCCCCTTTGTTAAAGGGTCACGGGGACACATTGCACAAGGTGTGACCGTGGAGCCCGGCCACACATAATCTCGAATAGACTTACGATTTCCAAAATCAGGGAAATTTAATTGAACACCATACTTGACGCGACGGAAAGACACACGGAGACCCTTATAATTTCGAGTCTACGACCGAACCTTCCTCAGATAAAACATATAAAATTCCTGGATTCCCTATCATACGGCTTTCACTGATGAAAAGTGCTTAGAGGCTGAGGCTCTGCGCCGTTGAAAGCCCTAGCCAATCTGAGACTGCCAAGAGGAAATCCAGGAAATTGCCAAAAGGCAAATCTTACCCGATTGCGCGATACGACGCGACCGAACAAGGGGGATAGGGCCGGTACGCGAGAAAAGTTACAATATATTGTGACGTGGAAAATTATCCCCGGGGTCTATCTATCCCTTGCCAAGGCCCGCTGCGCCTCGGCCTCTTGCGCACATCACCTTCGGCCTGAAGAGATATAAGAACCAACCGTTCCATTATTCGGTTAATAATTTCTTGGGCCTTAAGCCATGTTAGACAACGTATATGTCGAATTTTAATTTGGTCGCCAAGAGTGAATTCTTAGACGCTTCAAGGTCTCGCCCAGTAACGCTAGCGGTAAGCGCGACGGTCCGGCTCGGAGCGCGCGACACTCGACCTCCGAGAGACGACCCATAACAAGACGTCAGGGCCATCCGGACATCGGCTCCAGGAAGCGTCAGCGGGGCACCACCAGGGCGACCTGAAGGACTGCATCAAAGGACAAAGTTCCGCCACCAAGGGCGGCACCTGCCTCTCCCCTCAGGCCACCTAGACCAAGCAGGGGTCGGACCTGCGGAGGCCGCCGGATGCCGAACCCGCGGGGGCAGGGCCTCAGATCGTCCTAGCGGCGTGAGGAGGCCCGCCCGCGGGGAAGGTGCCGACTTCCCGGCCAGGCACCGGACCGGCGGGCAGGTGTCCACCTGCGAGGCCCCGAACACCGCCGACACCCTCGAGGAGGCGTCTCTGCGTCCACGAGGAGCCCGTCCACGGCCATGGATTGGTGCGGCGGACGGGCCAAATAGAAACACGACAATGGGGATTAAGTGGCGCCTCTGGGACCACCGAGGCCATCCAGAGCGACCTCCTCGAGGGGGGGACACCTGGGGCCACGGCCCTGATCGAGCCCCAGGTCAACCGGGACCAGCCATCAGGACGACGGACACCTCGGAAAATCTACGCGGCACTAAATTAAATTGGGAAACCTCAAACGACTAAATTCACAAAGAAAATATTTGAATGGTGAACAGACGCAAGCAAAATCAATCAAAGGTTTCGGCGAGTAAGGCAGCAGTAACACAAAAAATACAATAAAAGAAAAGCGCAAGAAAAGGCAGCAAGTTCAAAATATCAGCGCAAATAATCGGCGCAAGAAACCGAGACTTCGGACACTAAAAAACTTTCCTAAATTACATTTGCGCGGACATAATTATGATGCGACTAAATTATCGGATCCCGAAACTAACATTTTACAATAGTGAAATTCCGGACATAAATAGTTACTTTTCGATTTATAAATGGAACAGTTTAATTGAAGGCAGGCACTGTTCTACAAGAAATATTCAGCTCGAAAAGGGAGAAAATTATAGGGGTTCACCTATCGCGAAAACATACTTTTATTCAATAAAGTTCTCACTTCAAGAAAAACTGACGGAGAATTCGCACTTCGCGAAAAATGACATAGTTAATTACAATTCGCACTTCGCGACAACGAGAATCATTAAATAAATTTGCACATCGCGAAAACGGAAATTAAGTTCCCACTTCGCGAAAACAAAAAGAAATTAACTTGAAGTTTGCACTTCGCGAAATAAAAAGGAAATTAACGTGTCGACCGCTCAAGACAGCATTCTCGAGTTCGGGTCGACACGGCTTCTTGATCCAACCGAGGAGAGAGGCAGCAAGAGATATTTTACTTCAAAAGGCCGCTCACACGAGACTTTGGCCAAAAATATTAGAAAGGGCCGCTCACACGAGACTTGGCCGTCAATATCGGAAAATGGTCGCTCACACGAGACTTTGACCATGAAAATATCGAAAAGGATCGCTCACACGAGACGGTGACCGCAATTTCGGAAAATGGCCGCTCACACGAGACGGGGCCAAGAGAAACGAAAAATGGTCGCTCACACGAGACTTTGACCAATTAGACGCGGAAGGGTCGACCGTGTGGCGCGCGGCTCAACGACGGGTTACCCGGGGAAAACGCGGAACGGGGAAATCTACGAAAAACAATCTATACAAAATTTACTCAAAAAGTACTGTACGCTCAAACCTCGGTCTCGGCGAGTGCGACGATCCTCCCAAGGTCTTCCTGTACTGGAGGCAGCGATGGCAGGACGATGGCATCGGACACGTCTTCACGGCTCGACGCTCG